CGAACATTATTGAAATTTTCTTTGGGCAAAATTGTCATTGGAGCTAAACTATCTAGCTCATTTATATTAATTATTACACCTATGACAATAAATTACAAATCTATATTATTATTATATTATGCCTCTCTGTTGTCAAGGTATGATGTTATAATATAGATTCTCAGAATAATATTATTAAAACAAATATGCCGAACCATTTGTGACTGTAACCTAACCTAACTGTATATTATATGACAATAATGGCACGTTTACAAACTAATCATTATATTATTGTATTAGAAATAATATTTAAGTGGTTTGATGACGACATTGGGTTAGGTCAAAATCATAAAAAATGGTGACATAAGAGACGACTCCTTGTAAAGTCTGCACTCATCTACACATGTGCATACAAAGCAGTATCCTAATGCCGTTACCGAGTGACTCTTCGTAGTATTTTTTTTTCTCACAAACTTGAGTTTGTAGACCTACGTGATCTACCGACTACCCGAGTAGGATGACCATAAGTCCCTTTTAAAACAGAATTGTCCTTTTTTTAGAAACGTGTCCCCCCTTGTACCGACAAACTTCGAACTGGACGCTTTTTACTCGATTTTAGATTACGGTCCAGTTAACTTCATATTATAATTTATTGGTATGTGCGTAAAAAGAAAAAAACACCTACGCGAAACAAATGCACATCATTAAGTTTACAGATTTATATTGAAATGTTGAAACCAAAAGTTAATAGAACCTATACACAACAGTTTTTGTACAAGCGGGCGACGATGAACAATTTTTCATCTATAACCACGAGACATGGTCCTATAATAATAATAACAATATTACACTGTGAAATACGCACAATGTAATTATTATGAGCCCGCACGACCGTAACCATTTCCAACGACCCGGCAGCTCATCTAACAAGCAAACATTATCTCCAAATACAACAAAAACTATTTAATTATACAATTTTTGGAGGTATTTTTTAGAATCAACTCAAAATTGATAATTTCACATTTTTTTTTTTCATAAATTTATAAATTGGTCACCCTATTTCTGGAGTTGCCCTAGAGTAGTGCACAATTTACAACAAACCAATATAGTCGGTGAACAATTCTCATTGAAAAATATCCGAAACAGTATTGGGATTATTCCGGAATTAAATAGAACAAAAACAAGTCCCAGAACTTTGGGCAAAGAAATCCGTTTACCAGCGACTGCCTCTGTCCTATACCAGTGTCGGTTATGCTGGATGCATTAGTAGGTACCTCTAATGTTCATGGCTCGATGTTATAATTGTCAATGGAGGGTACGCTATGTGCAAAGATAAGATAAAATAAAATAATCGCATTTGGGGTTCATACCACTGTATTTACGATAATAATTTATAAAAACTAAAAAAATGTTATAAATACATTTTCAATAGTTGCAATAACCGGGTGTCCGGGTGTGTTCAATCTTGATTTTGGACATGCCCGGTTATTACAACCGACCAGAAAGCGAATTTTCTAGAATAATTCATTATAGCTAGACAGTGGGTACCGTTCAAAGAAAAAAAACAAAAACTAGTCCAACTTACATTACAGCAATATTATACGAACTATGCCTAATACATGTATTGTTTAAATATTATTGATTTTGTCATGGTAAATGAAAATACCAATATTTTTATACCTGTGAATTGCACCGGACAGAATACTACATATTATTATCTAAAGCAGGGGTCTCCAAACTACGGCCCGCGGACAAGTTTTAACAGGCCCGTGGCCCTCATAGGACGCATAGGTAAATATAGATAAAAAAATTATTTCTAAATGTATTTATATTATACTATATTTATACCTATTTATTTTTATTTAAGTATATTGTAAAGTAAACAATATTTTATACACAAATATAAAGTAAACATATTATTTATATAGGTACCTAGGTACCTAATATATTATCATAAAATTAAAAATTATATGTGTTAATAAACTTTTGGCCCGCTAAGAGCATTTGATTTTTTTTGTGGCCCTTGAATAAAAAAGTTTGGAGACCCCTGATCTAAAGCATAGGCGTGCGCAGACTTTTTTCGCAGGGTATGCCGGTATATTTATCATACCTAGCTCAATACAAAAAAATAACTCCCCAAAAAATCTTAATAGGTACAAATAACTTGCCATATAAAGCGAATGGAAATTAACATGCATTTTTTTTAGCTTATTTATTGGTTTTAGATATTTTAATTTGAAAACTTGTACTGTGATTTCATTCCAATAAAGTATAACAACCTACAGACATTTTATTACAGGCCCCCCCCTACCACCGTAAGAAGTGTAATTTTCTGTTTTTGTACGATATTACATAAAATATAAAGGTTTAAATATTTTGTTTACCAAAGTGGTATTTAAGAGTAAATTTCCCCCCCCCCTCATGGAATTGACCTGAAGACGCCCCTGTTTGATTATATTATAATAATGACAAAAAATGATAATCTAATTAATTGAAATTCTTTTATTTTCGATAGTTGCAGGTAATATGAAAATAAGCAATACTTCAGGGGCCTGAATGTTCTGGCGACAAAACCCACGATTCTCGCGAAAATGGTTGATTTTGATCTCAACTATATTATTATTTATTATACTATATAGTTAGCAATCTATTTTATTATTCATAGGTACCTGTGGCGATTATGAATATATAATTATTAAATCTAATTAATATTTGATTTCGTCTCAACTCCCAATATTTTATTATAAAAAAATAATCAAAATATTTAAATTCTTGAACTGAGGTTCATGATTCTTATTTATAATCAAAACATTTACATCTAATAACTACATGTTTATGATAACTCTGCAGGGGATGCCATGGCATACTCCCTGCACACGCCTATGATCTAAAGTTGTTAGGAGCAATGACACGTTACGTCCTGACGTATTTGGATTGTGCGCCCAATGAAAAATAAAAATGTAGGTAGCCAGGTAGGTACTATACACGCATAATTTTCGTACGGATACCTATACGTCTGGACATACCGGGTTATTGCAACCTAAAAATAATTAAAAATAGTCTTACAACTATATCATCTCCGATGATAATGATCGGACGTATCTGGTTCTTGCGCCAATCGTCAGGGAATTTTTTTTCTCGCCAGGTTGAAAACGAGTTTTTGAAAAATATGGACTTAACTGGTCATTGCACCGGCGCGCTTTAAATTCGGCCAATCCTAGGTCTTCAATTCGTTTCATGCATGTTCACCGATGGCGATTTATGGCACAGAAAACGGTTCGATAATTTGTGCAAACCGACATGCACCTAATGTTCGCGCCGACTTTCATCTGCAGCTGCAATGGTTTGAAAACGTCAGGTTGTTTCGATTTCACTTGGTATTTATTTTTCCGGTAACCCAGCAGGGGTCAGGGTGTTACCTGGTTATTTCAGCAATATCACAGCGCTCGGTCCAAAATTATTACTTTAATTCAGCTATACTTCCGTCTGTTATTGAGCTGAAAAACGAAAACCACCGCGTTCCAAAAGGTGTAGATAATTATTTTGGAATCATAATATAATAATATTATAGTCGGCAACGTCGCACATAACCGTTGGGCGCGGAATAATAATGATTGTGAGTTGTATCAATACCATATTATTATTACCTGTACCTACACCTGTTTTAATTTTAAAATGTAATTTTGCCGTTGGTTTACAGTTTTACACTCAAATATTAAATTCCGATTGTACACCTCTATAACTCACGCCGCTCGTGAAGTCTTTATCAGTGTTTTTTTTTTTACATTTTTTTTATTATTATTACACATTCACTTGATTAAATCACGTCCTTGAGACGATTTCGATAACAATAATGTAAGTATTGACGAAATGTGTATAGGTAGGTACTAGAATATACTGCTATAACATTATGTCTTATAATCTATATATTTACCTACGCTGCTAAGCTAACACTGTAGAACTAATGACATTCCATATTTTTACACAGTTCGCAGAACTTATTTGAATATTCTATACAGTGCGAAGTTTTATTTTTTGTTCGTTTATTTTAAATACAATATAATAATAAATAGGTAATTTTTAGCGCAATACGCCTATCAAACATATTATTTACATTCGATCGATAAAACAACATTGATATACACAAGGTGCAAATCTATTTAAAATAACAGACGTCTACGTCTTAAATTACCACGCAATACTTTTTTGAGATTAGATAGATAAATGACTAATAGGTCGTTTGCTGAAGAGCTTTGATCGATCGCAACTATAAACATTACTGCACTCGCGGGATGACGTACTGTTTAGACTTTATATATAATAAAACAATATGGAAACCAATAACCACCTAAACCCGGCTAACCCTCCCCCCACCACCAAAGTTCCTCATTTTAATCATAAAATTATCTACCTTGGTCTTAGCGTATATACGTATATGTATAGGCACATACCGTAGAATTGAAATATACATAGCATTGGTAGGTACGCGTAGGCACTCAAAAAATTAAAATATTTGTCTGATAAAGAAAGCGTAGTACGAATATTATAAAATATGTCCACGATATAAACCATATGACGCTTTAAAAATAATATCGTATGTTTCTGTTGGCCGAGTTTCCCGATTTAATGGGCAATGTGCAGTACTAATATCCGATAACACTGCGGTAGGTACCTATATATAATATATATTAGTTCACGTTTTTATTGAAGGTATATGCCTTTATGATTTATCAGCAACTTTATAACCTTTGATATACATCCACATCACCGTAGGTATACGGACTGGAAACCAGTTATAATAATAATTATTATATTATGCTTGTTATCATTCCTCGGATAAGCCACGGCTAAATAATATCATAATATTGAGAAATTTCATTAAGTCTGAACATCATTATCATTTTTGTTGTCCCAGTGCGATTATTGAGCAGCTCGCACACACTATCCGCGAAATTTATAAAATTGTATAATGTTCGTGTCGTAGAGAATAATATACTATTTTCAATTAGAGGAATAAAAATATGGGCCTGGCAAATCAAGTGGCTTTGGTGACCGGTGCAGCATCGGATGTTGGGTACGCGTACGTGAAATGTTTACTTCTGAACAAAGTCAAGGTAGGTAAATCAAAAAATAGACAAATTATATTTATATATATCGTGCTCAGTTCTTCACATTAATTCATAATATATTATTCCATACATTATTATATTAAAAAATATAACACATTGAATTTAGGTGTTACTCTGCGATGTCAATGTCGACGACTGTCAAGCTATAGCACGCCAGTTCCTAAATGAGTTCCAAAATATCAATATATTCTCGACCAAATGTGATGTCACTAATGAAGACGAATTTGAAAGTGAGGAGATCAAATTTTTTTTTTTAATTTTTTTTCTCGTGACAAAATTATCAATTTAATTTAATAGATTTCACGTAAAGATTGTTTTTAAATACTGTAATACGTGATATTCACATAATGCTAACGTTTGGAATGTTTTGAGAATCACAAAACAATACATATTTTTGATGTTGAAAATTCACGACTTTTATTAAATTATATTTTTTAGGTGCTTTTAAAACGTGCATCAAACATTTTGGTCGATTGGACATAGTTATTAACAACGCAGGCGTTTTCGACAATTCAATTGAACGACAATGGCCTGCCACAGTCAATATTAATTACGTGAGTTCGGTGGTAATTTAAAGTGTTTGATTGTGTGCATTGGTATACATATTTACTTTTTGGCATAATACCGTGTTGACTAGGTAAACTATATTATGTTGACGCGCAAACGCTACCTACCTAGGTACTTATTTATTTTGACAAGCTTATGAAACGTAAATATTTATTGAGACAACATATGTTGATATTACTACTGCAATGGAAAATTGTTTGATTTCCCCCGAGTATTCATTGTATACAAAGTACCTATTTACCAAAGTGGCACATGGCACTAAGCCATGACTATACCTGTTGATAGGTGCGATCGATAAAACAATTATATTTAATTCCTAAGAGCTTTTATAACTATTTACTGCACTATAGTACCTAAGATATTATTTTGAGGCTTATATTATTATCATGGTCGGTGTCTATTGGTGTGTATCCACAACATTGTGTTTTCTTCTAGGGCGGAGTCGTCAGAGGTACACTGCTGGCGATCAAGTACATGGGAATTCCCAATGGAGGTACTGGCGGAACGGTAATACAGACGTCTTCCTTGTTGGCTTTCAGCGACAATTATCATTGTAATCCCATGTACCTGTCTACGAAAAAATATTTGATGGAATTCACGAAAAGTTTTGGAGTACGTGTATCTGCATTTTATATTGATATTTCTATTTATGTACTATTTACCACGATACGTGTCTTATAATATAATTAGTGATTTTGTTTCTATGTTCGAACTCTGAAGAAAAAAAATCATTTCAGTCTGCATGGCGTTAAAATCATTACCTTGTGCCCGGAGTATTCTGCTACTAATTGTAAAAGGTCGGTCTGTAAAAACGAAACGCTGCACGAAAATGAACAACATGTCGAGAATGTTGAAGATTTAACGAATAATCAACAGAGTACGAAAATTCAAAAGTAAGTAATACTTTCAATTCAATGTGTGCTGTACACTATTAACTATTAAGTACCTTTATTGTTTCCGAAATCTTTGCACGCGACCGGGAACCGATTTAGAATAATTCGACGAATAATACAGACGATACTTCCTAAAGTTTTTAAACAACTTCTTAACCGTGTCAGTGTGTCACAGTTTGTTTACATTATAATATTATATATATACAGGCTGCATCGTAAATATCTATGGTCATACAAATATTGTGTTTATAAAATTGTGCCAAATTTTTTTTTTACTATTACGAGATCGGATGCTTTTAGTCCCCGGGGAGCAGCTAGAGTTGCGCATGTTAATAATAAATGTTTATGGTATATTATGCGTCGTCCACGGGAAGGGGTTTTATTGGGTGTGCGAACTACAAACGAATCAAATGAGTATCTATTCAATACAGCCATTTAACATTATATATTAATACTTCACACTTCACAGTCAACATTAAATGGCAGTGCAGAGACTAGAGGGCCTATTTTTGTCAGTCAATTTAAATACTATGATCATTGATCATACAATATGTTTTAAATTCTGGGCGGAGCGATGAATGTATTGACTTTACAATGATGTGTTTTTTATTAGATTTTTTTTGTGTATGTCACCTGCACCTTTTTTTAGTGGAAAAATAGTTAAATCTTCAATTTCGATAACTTTTCTGATAGGAAAGTGAATTTAGTTGGCATATAAGATATAAATTTACTGTAGAGAGTCAAAATAAAAAAATTCTAAGCATAAAAATATTTAGATTGTATTTACATTTTTAAGTTTTTAAAATATATTTTAATCATAATTACATATACATAATATTATATATTATGTTTGTTCTCAATTATATGTATAATATATTATATATTATTTATTTATTATATCTAAATTATCATTTATCGAATACCGGAATACCTATACCGTTGTCTTGACAGTAGTTCCATATAACTTAAATTGTTGTCACCATAGAAAAAATTTCAAAGTTCAAAAATATTAATATAATATCTGATAAAAAATAAACATTTTATTTCATATTGTAATTTTTAAAAATAATAGTGTAAAATATACTGTAAAATTACAAACTTTTCACTGCACATCACGAATTTCATGCTACTCACTGCAGTAATATGAGACTGTTGCAGTTAATACCATTCAAAATGTTTGCACTAAATTGTACAAAGAACATCATAATATTATTATTGTACTTATTACTTAAGGCGGCTTTTAGTGGCTATTATTTAAGGGGAACAATTTAGGCAATTTCTAATCTTGTCGTCGCCGCCCGTAATCTATGTGTTAGTCGTAAATGATTATTAGTGTGAAATTCGAAAAAATTCGAACTCGATAACAATAGATTTTATATCGCCCGGCTGCGGGCACACGGTTCAATAGCACACGTACGCGCATGCACAAGTCAACGTAATCACTCTCGAAAAATATTTTTGTACACTCACAACAGTGAAAAATGCTAATAAGCTGGCGAAAAATACACATATTTCTAGTAGTCCAATTTCAATTTTGAAAAATTATTTGAATTCGTCAGCCTCTTTTCTATGATTTGTAGGAAACCGATTTTGGATATTTTAGATAATTTATGTATATTACGGTTCCAAATGACTGCTTGATTTCTCAAATTTAACTTGCACTTTTAAGTGCTAACTAGACAAAAAGATGAAAAAGTTTTTCCTACAGATCATAGAAAAGAGGCTAACGAATCCAAATAAGTATTCAAAATTGAAATTGGACTACTAGAAGTATGTGTATTTTTCGCCAGCTTATTGGTCTAAATGCATGAAAAATCCAATCGTTTAGAGCCGCCTTAATACTTTAACTGTTTGTCATTTGAGTGTTTGACGTTTGTGAAAATAGGTACATTAATATTATACGTAGTACTTACCTACCTAGTACCTACATAGTGTCTTATAACAGTGATTAGTTCCCAAACTATTGTCATATATGTAATGCCATCTGGCGGTTAATAATAATATAGTGACCAAAAGTATACCATTATAGTTTCGATGGGGTTTTATTACTCTAAAGTTCAACTTATGGTTTGCGTGTATACGAACACCGCCACCAACACGCTCATATCGATATGTTTAAACTTTAAATGTATAATAATCTATATATAATATTATAATGTAATAAATTTAGAGTTAGGATGTTGGTGACTTTTGCATTTTTTTCCTATACACTATGGCACTATGCCATCTTAATTAAAAATGTTGCAGGTAATTTTTTGTAGTGTTTTACAATTCGAGGGCATTTTTCTCAAATTTTAAATTTTAAAGAAAATTTGTATAATATTCAAAAAAATGTATTATTATTACTGTAGGGATTTTGTTGTAATTAAATTTATTGCTTACCGATAAGATTTAGGTACCATTTGCGTGTTATACTTTATAAAACAAGTGCTTTTTCACACATACGCCGATCATTTACATTTTGATAATTTTATAAAATTCTTAAAATTAAAATGTATACTATTGTAGTATTGTCTATTAAGATTACAGTTCATATTTTTAACTACTATGACATCCATTACCACACCCATATCTCTAATAAAAATTAAATATTTTTCACTTATTTAAGTAGATTTTTTTGGTTATTATTTGAGTTAATTTTTTTGAGTTTTTAGGGCATTTTAGCATTTTTATATAGTTTTTAGGCCATCAGCATCCTAACTCTAGACTAATTATATAATCACATATACATATGTATATTAATTATTATTTATTCCTAAAGGCTAAGGGCTTTAGTAATATAAGCACTAAGCATTGCATAGAGTATAGACCAGGGGTGGCCAGCGATAAATGACTTGCGAGCCACCAAATATATTTATAAATATGGAAGAGCCAAAATGTAAAAAAAAAAAAAAGGTCATATTATTATATAATTTTTATATATTATATATTTATATATCAGATATTGTATTATTATTATTGTAAATAAGATAAGTTAAGGTATGGTATTTAATAAAATGTGAAGAATAAGATAACAATAATTGTACAATAATCTCAAATTAAATTTTATCTTCATAAATACCATAAATATCAAAATATCATACAGACACACATGGATAATGACTGCGTTAACAACATATAGTCCTGATTTTAAAAAGCTTACAAGCAAAATAAACACGCAACAAATAAGAAAATAGTCAATTAAGAAAAATTTAACTGTAATTTAATAATTTAATTTAATTTAATAAAATATTATACTTTTTCAAATACATAAATTCATATTAAAAAAATTTTTTTTTTAAATGTTACGATAAGATGCGAGTCGCAAAAGTCTATGACCCGAGCCGCGGTTTGGCCACCCCTGGTATAGACCAATAGGATTAATGAGGATTGTGACCCTATTATTATTATGGATCATAATTTGACAATTATTTATAGTGTTTGATGAATTTGTCGTAATTTTGACTTATAATATTAATTTAATGGTCAATAGTCATTCAGATTCACCATTGCAACTACTATGTATAATATTATGCTGATATTTTGTAGGTGACAACCATACAGTTGCCCACATTTTGAGACATTTTGAATGACTGATTACTAAAAAAGCCACTAAAATGTTGACCTAAGGGCGGACTGTCGTACATTTTTCGAAGCTATAATTTAAAATAATGTTTTACATAGATAAGGTACACAGTGCCAGTGTGTCACAATAATACAATATACACATTTTAATTTTAATAACTTAATATGGAAACTTGATATTATCATTATAATTTATAGGTTATACGTGATATTAGGTACTCATATTATAGTCATATTATGTTAATATGCTAAAAATAATACATTTACATGTATGTTGTAGGTATCTTATTAATATACCTAATCGACAATCGTCAAAGTTTTTAGTGGTGTTTTTCCGTACCTCGTGGGTAGGTTTTTACTATTTTATGTCATAAGATCAACGCAGTCATTAAATGATAAAAATATAAATTAGATAGTTGCTCCTTATCCATTCTCGTCTATACTGTCATTAAAACTAGAAATTATTGTTCTATTGAAATTGGTAAAAAAAAACAGCCTTAGTAGGTGCCAAAACTCAAGTGGTTCAAGTCCTCACGACTATCGAGAATTTATGAAAATTTAACCATTGAAACCAACGATTTCATGTCAAGTACAACTAAATTATACGTCCATAAAGTACCTAAAAATACTAAAGTACCTACCTAATTATATATCCTTATTATGTACTTAATATAGTTAATACACCACACATCTATGCTATAAATATTTATCTGGTGTGCATGGATAAAACAAAAATCCATAACTATAATACATTTTTACAATTATTATGCACACAGCACAATATTGCTTGAGTACCGATGATAATAATAATATTTCTTTTGTGAATTTATCCACTAGGCCAAACAATGTTGGGAATGCTTTGATTACGATTTTGGAATATGGAAAAACTGGAGAAACTTGGATTGTCGAAGAAAATAAACCACCACGACTAGTTGAATAACAAGTAACAGAAATATTCAATAATAATAGTACTTATTGTATTTATTGTCTCAATAACGATAAAAAAAAAAATCCGTTGTAAGGTTTTTGATTTAAGTCGGTACTTTTTATTTTGTATTATTGAGGTAAAGAAAATTCAAGTTAGTGTAAATTATAATTGTATATTTGTATCATATATATTTTGACTTTTAAGTAAGCGAAATAAGTAAAATAAGTAAAACTATACAAATGTTGTTCAATTCTTTATATACGTATAATTGGACGACACCTTGTAATGTGAACGACATTGAGCCAGAATGGCTTATCTACTGATTAAAATACAATTAAGGGCCAGAGAATTTCAAGTCACTGATAATATTTTACTGTAGTTTTGACTTTTGAAGAAATGTGCGGGTCCCAGTTGATTTTTATCTGGAATAACTCCAAGATGGCAAGATATTTTATGTTTGTAATAAAATGTTACCACCGTTAAATTGGAATGTGGGTAAGCTAGTAAGTTTTAGGTAGGCCATCAAGTGCTATCAATACAGTTGTACTTTTGAGAAGAATATAAACAGTAAATCACTGAAATTATATTTCGTCATTGATTCAAGAATCAATGGAATTTATTGATGGAAAATATTTCTAATATATCTACTTACTAATATTATAATAATCTGTTGTACTAAAAGGAATGCGTGTTAGGACTTACGAATAATGAATTATAATTAATATATTATATTTATTTATAATGACTCAACTGCTGAAGTACCTACCTACTACAGTAGATATATTCTAATAATATTACAATCTTAGATTTAGTACAAAATAAAATATAAATATTAACTAATAACAGAGATTAATAATAGATTATTATTAGTGAACTAGAACAATTCATAAAAAAGATAAATAAATATAATATCATGTTTAATAGTAAAATATATTTGTAATGATATAGTAGATAGGTACCTTATTCAATAATTAACAAATCGATTGAACAGGATATGACTAACATGATTACAAAATGTACATTAAGTGCCAAGCCCAAGTGGTTGAAAAGCATTGGTTTGTGGGAATGTGGTATATGAATCTCTTGTAAATAACAAATTAAAATTTTTTTAGCTCTAATAGATATAGGTACTTACAAATAGATTGACGAATGTCTTCGAGTCGGCCTTTTCGGAATATGCGAAATATTATTTTACTCATATAGTATGTCTGGGAAATCAATACTTTACCATAATATATTATTTACATAATTACATATTATTATATTATAGAACTTTTCTTCGACGAAGTAAAGTTTTCCTCAGTCCCATTCGGTGTGCTACAGGAAACTACTGGCGGGGGTAATTATATGGGTTTGGTGATATTTCAATCGATTCGATGATAATATCGATCGGCATCTGCAGCAGTAGCTATAGCTACATCAATTAAATGTCAAGTTATGAGGACGTCCTACCCGTATTTGTCGTCTCGGTCTTGCAAGTGCGTAACATGTGGCAAATTTACGGTTGGCAGTAAGTTCACGTTTAGCTTCGTTGGTTTTCATGTTGTATAGAATGAATTGACCTATATATATATAATATCAAACCTAAACGTTTATAGCAGCATATTGTGTGAGGTTTGTTGAAATAGCGTTTTTCGATATTGTAATTTTGACGCCGCGATTAGTAAGCGTGTACAATATCAAAATTGTATCTACATGTTATATTGCTCACAATGATTCGGTTCACAATGAAAATATATTTTAAAAATGGACAAATCTGTTGAGTGGTAAATTTACTGTGCCACTCGCACTTGTAGCTCGTAAGATGCGGGCACTACAAGGGGGGGGGGTGATCGTCGGTTCAAAATGTACGAAAAACGAGGCATTTCGCAAGCTCAATATAAATCGGTTTAACTCCGCTCAAGTCCAAATCTTCGTGCATCGTTGGCACGTGCATCATAACAACATTATAAATATATCCGTGTTATAACACTACAATAATATAACATGTACTATGTACATGGCACGATTACGATAGATATACGCCACGCGTTCCTCGGCTTTTGAATTAAACGAGATGTAAAGTTATTTAAAAGACGTATAATACCTATAAGGCTATATAATAACACGTCATTACATAAATACAATTACACGACGTCTCGCGTATCCGCTGCTGCATAGTGCAGCTCTGCAAGTGTAGGTACATAATATTGTTATATAAGCAATATGTTATTATATGTATATAATAATAATAATAATAATAATAAATAATACGATCGCTGTCCGTTATCGGAACGGTAGTTTTCTCTGTCGGTAACAAAAAAAAAAAAACTTTCTCGACGACGGCGGGGAGTGTTTTTTTGCTTCGTTTAAAAGAATAATATCATATTATTATTATGTTTGGTGTGACGGTCGCCTGTATAATATAGAATACAAGTTCGGGTTTAAAAGCCCGGTGGGCGTTGGAAAGAGTGGAATTTTATGGTCACTGTATGCGCTCCTTGTCCGACGTTCGCGACTGTATTCTCCTCACAGTAAACGTTTGGACGTCAATCACGCAAGTTTGCGCGCTCGTTGCCACTCGGAAAGTCGATCGATTGTTTTTTTTATTTCATTTGTCTCGTGGTTATCGCATAATAGCATTAATACTTCCAAAGTGCACTGCAACAAAACATAATTAATACAATACAACACAGTCGTATAGATATTGAATTGTCTTTTTAATTATCGCTCTATAAATATATTATAGGTAAGATATTTTTACAGAAAGAACATATTATACCTACAGCTAACACAGTAATATTATTATAATCAATGTATAATTAATGTAATGTGTTGTTTCAATCAGAAGTGTTAATAAAATGTAGACATAATAACGATACCAATAGGTATAACTATTATAATAGTTCCTATTTAAAGTACACAACATAATATTATACCTACTTTACGTCTTTTAGTTTTAAAGGGTACTATATAGGTACTTTAATGCTTATAACCATATAAGATGCTTAATTATAATCGTTAAAATAATTCGGTTTTATCGTAATTCAACTCCAGCACTAATTCACAACAGTAAGTATTATTATTTTCACTAATACATTAAAGATACCTTCGTGTACAAGTCATGGTTGTCAAAAAAAAAACCTTTCAAAACCATTTTCTAGTGTTACACAAGCCATAAATCAAGTATTATTCTGTCCAAATGAAAATAAATAATTGCATGGAAGTTAAATGATAATATTGTGCTATAGAAAAATATGTACCTAATAACAATATAATTTAATTGAAAAACAAGTGACTAGAGAATACATCGTGCTTTTAGATACCTACCAACAACAATTGAATGCACACATATTGGTATATTATAAGAAATCAGTGGTAGATATAATATAATTAATTTTCAACCCATGAGTAAAACTATAATATTATATTAAATATAATAATATTATAAATTAAATGTTCATTGTTATAATGTGTAAAAGTGTAAAACATACGCTAGATAAAAAAAAAAATTAATTTAATATCGTTTTGTAGAAAATTAATTTCTTGGTACAGTTTATAGGGTTGTATTTATATGTGCTTAAATACCGCGTCAATGAATATAATGCAATTAAAAATTTGTCAATATTTTTTAAGTTAAAAGAGGCGTTGAGTTCATGGTTACCATGGACATATTCCAAAACTTTTTGTCTTGGATACCCGCCATTTTACATAAAACTTTATACGTATTAAAATATTAAAATTAAAAAATATATATAGTCGTTCATATGATAGCATTCCGCTGCAAGCATCATCTAAATATAGTATCCTCCTATTGACCCAGTTCCTACGAATTTGGCCTATGTATTTTGTATATAATATTATTATCAACTACTAATCGGAACGTACAGTACCGTTATCGTCTAATATATGTTACCTATATCATGGTACGTGTTTTGATTCTTTTAGAAGAAGTACTCCAACATTCATCGGTTTATAATATTCCTTATGAGTTGTGAAGTGATTAGACTTTGGGCACCTATATAAAAAAATACTGATTTTTATTTTTATACTCAACTAATCCAAAATAACACATCCCTGACAGCAGTAATGGGTTGTAAATAATATATTATTACGATCCTCAAAGCAGTTTGAATAAGAAAGACATTTAATAACATATTTTAATTTGCACCTATATGGCTATATATGGTACCTATATATATAATGTTTTTTATAAAAATAATTACACAAACGTATCACATATATACTAGGTACGGTACCTATGCCTGCAATAGATTACCTATGTGTAATATAAATATATTATAGTATTACTATGCATTATAATATATTACACTATATTATATTCATTTAGAGAAGTACACTCCTTATGCATGGATTAATTTGTAAAATTTGTTATTATTTCTCAAGTAATTAAATTTGATCTTTGATAATATTAACAATTTATTTTTATCCATCGTTTTATAGTTCATTGCTTTGAAGTTCGAAATTCCAGCTACATTTGTATACGTAACATGAAATTTATAATATAAATTTCATCAAGCTTATTCAACGACTGTCAATTTAACATTTCAATTATGACTGTTATTGTGTACATAATATTATGTAGGCATGGTATATTGTGTTAATCACTAATAACTTGATAAATAGTTTAAAATACTGAATCATATTTAATATCATGACTCACGAGTCACGAGCCGTTGTTTATTTATTTGATTCAACTATTTGTTTGTCTGATAGACACAACAATTTGGAATTAGATAATATATTAATTTTGAGATTCGTAACTCGGTGTCTCGATAAATAGTTACTTGATAATTTATTAAATCCTTATTAGTCTTTGCATTAATATTTCATATCATGACTCAAGAGCTTAGCTGTTATTGAATTCTTTGGTTCAAATATTTGTTTAAAGACTAAATGGGGAACTAGATAATATAAAGATATTATTCATTGCTTATAGATGATATTAGTAGGCAATAGGCACCATAAATAATAAATATCATTATTTCAACGTATATTATAATATAGTACAACAATACAAGCCTAATACTCTAACGGTTTTTTTCGTTAAATAATAAATGGTACAGTGGCACGGGGCACTACAGGCACAGATGTTTTTCAATGGATCAATGAATAATAATTATTTGATTTAATCAATTTAGTATAATAGAATATAATAAAACATTTGTAGAACAATATGCATCATGAATACACAATTAATTTTCAATAATCAGTAACTTATATTATTATTGTAACATAGCTAGCGATTTGTTGATGTTTTTTAGTGTGTACGATTTTTTTATCAATAGTTTATTATTGAAATTTCCATGGTGTAATTTTCTATATAGTTTCAAGGATTATTAGTGAGAACTGAGAATTCACAAGTCACTTACATAGTCACAAACCCCCTATTCTCATGTCTACCATTCGTTATAATAATTTATGTGTTTGTTATGGTATGTTAGGTCCCTTAAATCTTAATTAAATTCCTCTATAATCTATATTATAATATTTGATTATTTTTTAAAGTAAATTGTACAGTTTTTTCTATAAATGAATTGTGTTTTATTCCAATTCTTGTACTATTGATACGTTTAATTTGACCGTGTTCACATCATAATTAATTTTAGAAAATAAGTGTACACGTCTTCGCGTGAACAATAATGCAAAATTATATATATTGTATTATGACAGCGTGACATGAATGAAAATAATAATAATATAATATCGGCACTAGGATAATAAATATTAATAACTACACAGGTCACAGTTCGATAAGACTTCGTTTTATTATATTGTCAATGTCAGACAAAATAAAATAAGTAATCATTAAGTTGTAATAAATAACATTTTAAAGTTAGAATTATTATTAAATTATAATTTTATACAAAATGGTTGTCCAGCGTCTATAAAATAATATTTAAAATAAAATAAAACCACAGTAATATCTTAAATACGTTTCAACAATTTTATTTATTATTTATTTTATTTACAAATAAAATAGATAGTTATATTGGCAAACGTTTATGAACTAACTGACGAATAAATTTAATTTAATCATGTGGATCTATTTTTTTCAACTAAACTGCCATGCATACCAATTTGAATGTCATGTTTAATTACATATTATTCACAAAATTATATTAAGGGATTTTTTTTCAAATGTCATGTTTTTGATAAAATTACTTTATATTATATTATGATTAATTGAATACTATTTGTCTATTTATAATATCAAATGTTTTCAAAAAATCAAATTTGTAACCATTTTTGTTTTATTTATCAAAGAGGTTTTTTTTTAAATTTTTTATATTTTTTGTGTGGCAACCGGCCATATTTTTAACTTTGAAGCGAAGTACTTTTCTGGATAGTAATGTTCAATATTCATGTTAATGAGAAATATTGATTATTGAGCCAATACCATAATTTATTATTTATAATAGCGTTTAAAGTTTTTGCAGTGAAATGGCACGAAAATTCGAGGGGTATCCCTTTACTACCACAAACACGACGAACGTCTTTTTAGGTTGGTATACACATCCAAAACATTAAATTTGCATAAATATTAGGTAAACTATTGATTTAATAGTTAAAAATTAATATTTATACACTCACATTTTCAGAAAAATATTCTGTTTCAAAATATAAAATTAAAAACATATAAATACCTATCACTAAACGCCATTAAAAAAAAAATGTAAAGACATAAAACATTCACTACAAATCAATACAAAATGTCCTTTAATGTAAGTACCAAGTATTTTGCACTTACCTAATTAGAATGACCTACCTATATATTATATAGTATATAAACATTGCGTTAAAAGTTAACAGGGTACCTAGTGAGTTTTTATGTTAAAAATATCACCCTGTCCCTGTGTGTATATATCTATAATACAGCATACCTATTTATACTATATTTTAGTACTCGTATAACACTATACAGCCATAATTAATAGCTTGGACCTTAAACAAATAGTAAAGTACCTATACAAATTACCTTCGTGCACTGTATAACTATTCTTAATAATATTATAATATGTTAATTAGACATTGTCCCTCTAGTTGCATTAATATTACCTTTACCTATTACCTATATATTATATATTATATTTTAGTGTCATAGAACTAGATACACCGTATCATTGTATATTTGTATATATCATAAACATTTTAAATTTTCTAAAAATTTGTTCATTACTTCATATATTTTTGTAAATTGTAATTTGTCAAGTCTCATAAAAACAATCTCAACAATTTATCGTAGATATATATAGTTTAAATTCTCCGAAAATGTGAGACTCTATATTATTATAAAACATTTAAATTTCTTATTTATATAAAATAAACATCGGTTTGTTTTTGTACTAAAACAAAATGTTTATGAAAAATGCACTTTCAACTCCTACGTCATATTACACTGTACAAGGTGATATATACATATTTATCATAAATATATACGCTCCTAACTTAATAACCAAGCTTTAGTGTCGTCATCGCGTTTAAGGTTATTCGCCATTATTAGTATTGCATCTGTTACCTACACTTAAACTTATAATACTTTGGTGCTCCCTGTTTATAAACCGTATTGTACCTACATAGTATTCATTTGAAGAAAATCATTGAATAAAAAACACTACCTATTGTAGTATTGTCTAATATTTTTATCCAGGCATACTCGTGTATGCGGTTAAAATAATAAATAATAATATAAGAAACGTAACCTATACCTATACACTATACAGTATACCTATATAGTTACCTAGCTAGATATACCTACTGGGCTATATATATATACCTACATAGACACAAAAAATACGAACACGTAAAACAGAGGAGAAAAACGTGACACGATAACGTAGACAAATGATGGTTATGTACAGGTACTGAACCACTAATACATGACCATATTTGAATGAATATAGAAATCTACGATAGGTAACGTTTGAAAAAAAGTGAATCGTAACAAAATTTAATAAAATGGTTTTTTACTTAAAAATAACTCTTATTGTTTTGGTACCTAAAATATGTTATTACTTATTTGATTTAGTAATAACCATAAGTCGAGCTCAATAACTGTTTATAAAACGGATCAATTATTCAATTATATACGTATCTAGTGTTTAGAATTAAAAGATGACAAATTCTATATGATAAAATAAATATTTATATTATGAGCTACAGTGTATGGCAAATGGCAATGGCCTATTATACAATTATGAAATACTATAAACTCGAGTTTATAGCTTATAATATAGAATGACGTAATCATTTTCAAACCTTCTTAATATTCATGAATACATTTTAACATTCCCAGTAAATTGTTTTCTACAGTAAGATACGCCGTCGCCGACAATAACGTATATCTACGTGGGTTGTAAATATTAACATCAATTTTATACCATTTAAATGTAATTATAGCTGGAAATAGGTTAAAGAATTAAAATTATATTGATAGATATTGCATTTTTGTTTGTTGAATTCAGATTTCAAGGGCTTCAATATTATGGAAAATCTATTCGTTATTCGTATAAGAAGAATAAATTATTGATAACATATTAATATAATATTATGCATAAAGATAGGTAGGTATTTGGTAACTAGTCATCATTGACTCATCAATTTCGTTATGGTTAATGAATACTTATGTATTATAATAATCTCCATACCTAGTCAATTTTTATAATATTATTTATGAACCATGGTAGACTCAATTTAATATTTACAGTTGAACAAAATTAAGCATTTTTAAAATTATTGCTAGGTAAGAGTAATTTGTTTTGTCCCAAAAATGTGATATTTTACTGATAATGTTATTAAAAAATATGTTTACCTAGATAAATTGTAATTAATATTGTATGGTTGCCAGTCGGTTATACGTCGCAAATAAATGTACATACTTATGTATTCATATTAATGTTCTAGATCTAGAGAAATGTCTCATACGGTGACAGTTACCAGGACCACAACATCGACAACATCCGCTATAATCCTAAACACTGGCTATGTGAAATCGGTGCCTGGGTTATTAAAATTAGCCGAAGTTGTAAGTATGGTTTAATATATTAGTTTAATGTAGAAGTGAGATCAGTAAATGTTCCAGTTCGAATACAGCATAGTTTTCCGATATTAGCGATATTTATGAAATTATGACATGGATTTTTTTAGAGTCTAGATATTATCAATAAATCGTTATTAGCATGAACTAAGATACTTAACTAAGTTCGTTCATGGTTATTAGTTAGTTATTATTTTGTTAGTTAGTATTGTAAATTAGTAATTACACAATAGTATTGTCATAGGCCATAGCCTATAAATAGTTTATTGTTTCACTTATAAAAGTTATAACAAGGTCTAAAGTAAAAGTAAAATTGATAAAAAAAAAAAAAACATCCTCACGAAAACGGAAAACATAAACATTGTTTAACAAGACATGCGTAGGAAGGTAGGTAGATAGGTACATACCAATATTTAACATGTTGAATGTTTTATTATATAATTCATTAATAAATAATACCGATATTTTTAATTCATGACGTGTGTAAATGTGCAATATGCAAGTACCTATATCCCACCACGACCATCAAATATGTAAATGTTACTATACCTATTATAAATTATAATAATAGTTTATACAAATAATTTGATTGGTTCAGATGAATATTAAGTATATAAAGGTTATGTATTTGTGTCATAATATATCAACATACCTATATGCTCTCGAAAACTATAATATATCAATATATCAATAAACAATGGGTGTATTGCAATTTGCAATATAGACATTTTTTTTTCATTCGAGTTTTACGAATATTTTAAAAAAGTGATCAATAACCACTAAGATCATGGGACGAATTCTATAAATATAAATTATATATACCACCGAGCTTACGTCACGCTTAAAACGCGCGTAGAGACAAAATAAATGAGAAAAACTCGGATGCTAAAATCACGTCATTTTTTTATAATTTATTATGCTGTAGGTATACAACATTATTAATAATATGCTCTACGACCGGTTATAGCCGGTATTACACCATTTGTAGTCTGTAGATAATATGTATTGAGCATGAAATTATTTACACCTCGAAACTGTTACTTTATAGGTAGGTACCTACTTTATAAATTATAGCAAACAGGGGTGGGCGCGCACGGGCAAAAAAATATTATTATTACCTCAACTATAATGAACGGTTAAAAGGCCAAAATATCGTGTAGGATGATGTCACGCGCCTGGGGATCAGATCGCTGTAAATAGGTAATTTATCGTAAAATATTTATTGTTGAATTTATGAAAAACAATTATGATAGAATATAGAAATAATGGTTTATTTCTGTTGTTTTTGTTATACGGTTTAGAAAGACTTTAACACACAAAAAATGTATATTATTTTTAAATATTATATTAAATATTTATCCTAACATAATCATCTTCATAGGGGTACCTACAGCAATCTATATCTATCTATAGGTATGATGTCAAAATGTTATTTTCTAAATCGTTATCTTTTATGTTAATCATATATAATGTTAGGTACCTTTATTATACTTATCTATTAATAATTACAATACATAATACAATATATTTTTTATTCGATTTATCATTTTTTTTTCTAGAAGATACACCGTTCACCAGATTGTAAATAAAAAAATTAATACTCCAATCAAAATAAAACAACACAATAATTAAATGTATTGTATTTAGATAATTAAAATAAATTATTTTATAAGAAATAAACAAATTGTATTCGATACAATATAATATTATAATGTTTAATGGTATGGATTTAGTTGAATTGAATGTATATCTAGGCTAAGTGTCCAGGGTGTGTTTCGAGGACGAATGTTTATTGAAAAACGCGTAGTCGATACTATTATATATGTATATATAAAGTTACCCGGAAGGGCTGTGGCGCCAAACACTCCCCTTCAGACAGGATTTTTATACACAATATACACTGTACAGTATACAGCTAGCTTTAATGTAACTACCGAACTGGAAAATGGTTTTCATTTCATCCTTGGAATAAAAACCACAATATATCAACGAACCATTTTTTTTTTTATAAGAACACCATCGACAAGTTAACAATAAGATGTACATCGTGTTAACTACGTTTGGCTTATAGTGGTTTAGTGGCCAGTTTCCATTTGCTCAACATATCGAATAGAATCAGTGTCTAGGCGGTCGCATATTTGTTGTAATAAAAAATATTCTTAGGTTGACGGTTTTTTTATGTGTCACACCAAGGACACAATGATATTGTAGCCTATTGCCGTTTCCAATGTAATTAAATATAATTCATATCTACCAATATAATATATAATTTATAATAGTCCTAACTGATACAGGGTGTCTCGTTATGTTTGTCCTCGTCCATATACCCACCAGGCTCTTGTCTATATCTACTTTAAAACGTAGGTACGTAAAATTTAAATAACTAAAAATAATTATTTGTAAAATTATATTTAAGTAGGTACGTCTTAACGATACAAGTTAATTATTCAATACCTACTCAAAATATTTAGATTTTAGGCTGGTAATTATTTTCAAACATATTAATTTTAAAAAAAAGTTATCGATGTGGTCAAACATGGTGACTTTACAGTATACAGATACATAGTGTAATAATTAAAATATCAATGCAAAAATGATGTATATATCCAAATAGCTGAACAGTTAGATACTCAGTTAGGTGACAACTGTCAATGTGCAATAGCCAATAATACACTAGATTTATAAATGTAATACATGAAATACATGAAATATTATACAAATAGAAGTGTCTGGCGATAATTGGTAGGATCTAATAATAACATATGTCTAGACTCTAGTTTTAATTAATATGTAATATTTAAATTTAAACATTTAAAACGTTTTGATATACTTACTACTTTTAGTATACTAACATCTTATATATTTTGTTTTTTTTTCAGATTTTAGGAGGCATTGTCTTGGGTCTGTTGATTTATAACAGAGACAACTTATGTCATTGCTGGGTGTATGGCACGCACAACGCACAACTTTTTTTTTTGGGCACAATTAGTGCATTTTTTTTAACGAGTCTTTTGTTGTTGATTTCTTGTCTGCTATCCATTTCCACAGGGCCTATCATATCCAAAACTAATTTTGTAAGTATATAAATGTATAATTATTAAGTTTAGTATAATATACGGAAGTATTTTATGATTTTATTTCATACGAAGAACGTAAAGAAATTGTTGTAAATTAAGGGGCCTCACTACAAAGTCTTTTTTTTGTCAAAAACTACTGTTTCTAATTCCAACGATACGTGTCGACAATTATCACGATTTTCATTCTGAAAAGATATTCTGATTGTCCGTAATATATACAAGGGAACGATCGAGCCACATTTTTAATTTTTGTAATTTAAATTGCAATAATAATTGTAAAAAAATCAAAAAAAAAATACAGAATTTCCAACTTAAATATTTAATTAACTAAATACAGTTTAGAAATAATAATTAATTTGTTAAGGCGTTTACCTAGGCAACATAATTGACGGTAAATAGTAATTTTTACCACAATAAAGTAATTGCAATTTTAAATTTATAAACTATTCTTAAATTTGTTGATGTTGTTCTAAATTAGTTTATAAAATGTTCAACATAAATACATGCCTTAGGTGTTTAACTTCAGTATGTAATTTGTAATCTTTGTAAAAGTGACGGTTTTGATAAAACATCAAGGGGAGGCTATTTTCAATTTTTGGGCCTCCCCTTACCATAATTAAAGCAATTCAAGCACTTAATGTAATTTCAATTAAAAAAAGGACACGCAAAAAAAATCCAAGGGGGAGGGGGTGAGCGCCCCCTACGCCACCCCTAAAAACCGTCACTGCTTTGTAATATTGTACAATGTATTTTGTAATGAATACTTAATCATTCATTACCTACTTACCTATTTATTCAATCTAATTATCTCACAATCTGAATGCTTGGTCTTATTTATCATTGTTTTGAATTAATTTTTCAGGGTAATTACTAATTACTAATTTTGAATTTGATACTTCTATAATAATAATAATAAAAATTATAATGTAATAATAATAATGTAAACAATGTCTTTTCAGGAGTTTATTTATCATGGAGCTGGATTTATATTTTTGTTGTTGGCATCCGTGTTCCTATTACTTGATGCAAATGATAATAGCGGCCGTAACTCACAAAATCATTTTGTAATTGCCTCAGTAAGTATTTTATTCTTTGAAGGAAATAAATTTGATTGTTCTAAAATACTCATACTTGTGTGTCTAGATTCTGGGATTGATAATGGCAGCTTTTTACCTGCTAAGTTCAATCTGGGGTTATAGGTCATACAGAGGCCCATGAACAACCTGTCAATTATAATATTTTACACAAGGAGCATAGCCACATAGACAAACCAAATGGACGACTAGCAAAAAGTGCACAGATTAATTAAGGATATAAGCCAGCTTAAATGTATAATTTATTGTATAAATTATTATTATAAAGCATTATTATGATGACTGTTTTTCATGGTCTATCAAACTCTATACGGTCCTCAGAACTTATATATTAACTTTGTTAACTATGCTTATGACTTATATTATACCAAATGTGTTTGTGTTATTTTTTAAGTAAATTAAGACATAAGAACCCTATGGCTATCTGTACTCGTGTTAAACGAAAAACTAAGCATCTTAAGTTTATTTTAATTGCATTGTTCAAATCATTATAAATTTAAGTGATAACTTTGTGCCTTATGTATTTATTTTATTGTACATTTTTCAAGTGCCTTAAGAATATGAATCAAAACGTGTGCTCGCATTTATTTAACTAATATTATATACATATTTATTAATTTTAACACAACTAAAATAGACTTGATTTTGTAAAATATTAATAAGTCTAAAATATAATTCATATAACTTGGTAAATATTAAGTTTACTTATTAACGTGCAACATTTCTTATTCATATTATAAATGTTAGTAGGTAGTTATATGAAGAATTGAAACATTTAACACTGCATACTAAGTAGTTTGTGTTAATAGCAATCAGATGTTTAGAATGTTTAAAAATACTATTTTTGATATTATATTACTCAGCAGGGGGTAGCTACAGTTTATACTTTTTTAAACTGTACAGTGATTTATACATTCAACCTGCTAGTCTAGTATGCACAGCTTAAACAAAATCATATAACAATTATAAGAAGTACACATTTGGAACAATATTTTATCATAAAATGTATAGAATAAGAAGCCCCTATGTTGGGTTAACCTCCCAATCTTGTTTATGTTCATGTTTCAATATGCAGTACTTCACAACATCTTATGGAATTTTAAAAATTATTCAAATGGTAAGTACCTACCTATTAAATAATATAGAATTTTTGTCAAATTTGTGTTTTAAGGAACATTTAAACAGAAGCGGGCTGACCTCAAGGACAATGTAAAATATTATAACTGGACGGCTGCCCGCATAACTGTATACCATGGCAGCCTGCTCTCTGTTTGACCACTGTTTTTTTTAGATTTTAATTTTAAAGTAAGTTGAGTATTTTAAAATGCATAAACAATTTACAATTTTAAAATACTCATAACTTGCTTTAAAATTTAAATCTAAAAAAACTATATAGTTCACTAGATAATATTTTAACTTCTAAATTTGATAAGAGGTTAATTAGCTCCAATATTAATCATAACAAAATGGATTATTTAGAATGTACGATATGCCATTTTATGGAGTTTAAGATAGAGATGGCGTTCTCTTAATCATTCAATAATTTGAACATTAAACAGTGTTTCATAAAAATAAAACAAAATTATTACATTTTATAGTAATGCATATACAATGCGATGGTTACTTATTTTGTATTACCCATAGTTACATTAGTTTAGAGGTATATCGATTATTTATATAGCATTGTTAAACTAATATTTACATATTTTTATTGAATTATAGATTTTTAATTGATTAAGATAAACCATAAATTTTTGTTAACAAGCATAATAAGGAAACATAATATTTTTAAATGTTTATGTTTAGTATTATACTGAACTTATAAAAATTATACTACACAGGGTGATTCTTTTATCATAAAATACTCAATATTTCAAAAAGTATTAATGATTTTGAAAATATTTTTTTACAAAGTTTCGAGTTGTCAAAAAACAACGTTTTTATTAAAAAAATTATATTTTTAAATAATTTTTATCCTTATAATTTTTTGACAACAGTTTTAATTTAGATATAGCTTACTTAATTAGGTTATTGGTTGAATAAGCAATTTATTGTTAATTTTTCAGATTCCATTTGTTAAATTCCCAAGTAGTTTTCAAGTAAAACTAAAACATTTGAGTAAAATGTATTATTATTTATTATGTTCAAAAATATTAACATCAATATAAAAAATTTTGTTAATGAGAACGATTTTTTTATTTTAATTTTATTACATTATGGCAAAACAAGTCTTTGATATATAATATTTGAACTTCAAACAATTTTGTTTATTGTGTAATTATGAATTATTTAGATATTGGGGTCCATTTGTCAAAGCATATTGATGTTCTATGGGACGAAGTACATTCCAACATTTGGAACATCTTATGAATCATTTCTTACAACTGTTGCTGGATGTTTAATGACAACAACAGTCATTAGTGTATCTTATTTGTTATCAAAAAATACCGAAGTACTTGTTAGATCATCACTTTTTGTATGTATAAATAATAATTAGTGAAGATGAGATTAAAGCTAATTAAATTTATAATTTTTTTTCAGGAAATAATTTTTGGAATTTTTGCATCAATCTGTTATTTGAGTTCTTCGTCATTATTAACAATAGCAGTCTATACATTGTTATATCCAATTATTATGACTATACCATTTACCTCAATATTTTCAGCAGTAATATTGGCTTACGTAAGAACAACAATTAAAAATAGAATAAAACAGTTTTTTTAGAAGCTTTAACTTATTTAATTTTGGTTTTCAGACATTAGGATTTATTCTTGGAGTTATATACGCAATTGATGCTTATTGGGCATTTAAATACTACAAAGGATTTTCATAAAAAATATACTAAGTTTGTTTAAAACTAAATAATATTAATAATAATCATAATAATAAAAAAAAATGTATTTCAGACAAAAAAAACTTTTTCAAAACTTACTATACTTATATTCTTAAAAAAATAACAAATCAGTGTTGCTGTTCCAATGAGTTGTTATAATATTTGGAAAAACTACATTTAGTACATTTAGATACATAGGACTGAATAATTTAATCATAAATATCTTCACGATCACACACATATTGCACAATATCTTTAGGTCTGTGCAACTTTTCAGCATCTTCATCAGGTATTTCAAAACCTATAAGTTTTTAAAACAAATTTTAGTTATTTTATTTTGTGTAAAATAAAAATAATTCATATACCAAATTCATCTTCTATGGCCATGATAACTTCAACATGATCTAATGAATCTAATCCAAGATCATTGATAAAATGTGATTCAAGACTGAGCTGAAATTATTAGAAATTAATCAATTTTAATATAAAATTATATCATATTTAAAATATTAATATATTTTTCAACTAAGTAGATAAAATATTATGAAAACAATAATTTTAGGGTTTTATTTTTTGTATTATCATTGTTGTACTGGTCAAATTTCAATTGCATATAATTGGTAGATATAAAAAAAAAATTGTCTAAATATTTCTTTAAATAATTCATACTCATTATGATATGTAAAAATGAAGATTCAAATGAAGGTAGATATTCAACTCAATTAAATGCCTAGTTGTTGTCATAAAAAGGTGTATACCTTATCTGGATTGACCTTGTCGTATAATTGTAATACCAATAGGACACGCTTTTTAATTTGTTCAATAGTCATCGGTGGCTTGACACTGTAATGCCGCATAACCGTCTGAAAATATAATAAAATAAAATTTACATACCTCTTCAGCAGTGACTTTATCATACGCATTGCACACTTTCAGCACTCTAGTTTCTACTTCAATCACAGACAATCGACTGGCTGCTGTCGTGTCCGAGTACCACCGACAACTACCAGCCTTTGAACCGGAAATTAACTGGTTAGTGGGTACCTCATTAGTCATTTGTACGACAAACGCACACATATCGTCGCAGCGCAGAATTTCAAATAAATTAATAAATTTGTTCTTACCACCGGCACTCTGCATGTCTGAAGATTAAGGTTATTGACGATTTTCGATTGACTTAAATACCGTCTAGCTGCGCACATCGGGTAACGTGTCAGCACCCGTAAACTAGTGTTGGTGAAAAACGTACCACACAAGACTTTCCCAAGGGACGCCATCATATGTGCGTATTCTAAAAATGTACTTTATTTTTGTACAAAATATTTCTTAATATATACGAAAAAAGTGGCGACGGTTCGATTGAAAGCTTCGAATGAGAAATATTATCAAGGTCGCAAGGCGCAAGCTGATACACCGCAAAAACAGAAACATATGTTTACTACCTATTTATTAATGTTATACTATGTCTATGGTTTGTACCGTATTTTTACCACAGATACCTATATAGTATCACAGATAATATTATCTCGTCTGATAAGCTAATACTGTTTATCAGGTTTTGTATGTGATTATACATTACAATTTTTATTTGAACTTTTCAAGTCTGAAGTCTTTAAAATTATATTATTCTGAGTACTGAGGAGTGAGGGGATCCACTTTGCTACAAAGGTGAAAGGTCCATTGATAATTGATATTAGCACCAAATGTAACAATGGATTTTTAATATTGATTAAAACACCTATACACCGTTAAATACAAATAATTATTAGTTAACAATTAAATATTAATAGAATTACTACTTAAGTTACCACTACAACCTCAGATTAATTATTCAGTGTAATTTATTCTGTGCTGCGACTACCACTACCTACAATTAGGCACTGTACTACTACTGTAAATACTAGGTACACACCACATCATTATAATACTATATTATATATTTTAATATGAGATAATAATAATAACGACGGTTGTGAATTGTTTAAAGGCATAACTCAGTCATTCCATCAAACTCTTTTAGACGTGTTTTGTCGAAGTTCATTTATTACTGAAACCGCACAATGGTGAGTAAAATTTGTTAGGTATTGTTGTTTCCTTCTTGTTTCGTTTATTTATCTAGACAATTTTATTTTATTTTAATTAGTGTTGGTTATTGAGAGTAGATCATTAAAATCTAAATAGCTTAAAATAATAAAGTAATGTTAAAAGTCTAGTCGACTGGTAACACAATGAGTCATTTCACAACAGTAAAATTTATGTTTCTGTTGTTTATCGGGGTCTTCTTCCTATTGATATAATTTAATTCTTATTTCAATTCATGTTCACCGATTAGGGGGTGCAAGGAGGTGACATGTCACCCCCCTAGACAAATGTGAAATGATTGTAATTTGTTGTAGCCTGTAGGTAATTGTAAATAATAAACTAATTGTACTGATGATATTATAAATTATAATACATGACATATTACAAAGGTAAATCGTTTATCTATGTTGTGTATTAATTTTCTGTTATTAATAAAATCAATTTGGTTTATTTTTAGTTATTTTTTTGTGATATTGTCACCCCCCTAAGTTCTGATTGATGGGCGCCTTTGTTTCTATCGAATATAGTAGTCTACTGTCTCTACTCAGTAAACTTTATGGTATATAATATACCCTGTTCCAAAAGAGAAGACCCTATATTTTGAAAACCGGTTTTTCCCGTGGCTGCCTGATGTCTTCTCTTTTGGAACAGCCGAACAGGGGATAGGTAACATAGAGCAATACTTATTTTTTATTTTTTCAGGAATCTAATTACCTGTTTACTACTTAGTTATTAGGTAACTGTCAATAATAGTTATACATGTATTCCCCTCCTCAATCGTTTCTATATATAAAAAAAAAAAAAACATGAGGCTTAAAGTAAATTGTAAATAACAATGAATGACGTAGTTTTTATAAAATCAACCATAATAAGGATAATGATAAGTTTATTTTATAGACTTAATTATTGTAGATAAATGATTAATGTTGGATCTTATCTTTTTTTTTTATAGAGAAATATTACCTATATGGCTAATATGGCTTTAGTTAAAAAATATTATGAATACACTATTCTTAAATATCTTAAACTCTTCTAAAATATAAAATATAATGTATATAATTATTAAAAATGTTATTCAGTTATTAACAAAGAATACATTTTTATATGGTAGGTATTAGGTAATAAATTATTTAGTTACTAATATAATTTTTAAAATTTACAGGAATATAGATACAATACAGATGTTTCTGCTTATAAATATTCTGTATCAGATTTAGTATTAACAAGAGAACAGCGAGATTTTTATGAAATAAATGGATATTTATTAATTCCTAAATTAATTCCTGATTATTTGTTGGACAGATGCTGGTAATGGTATTTTATAAATTAAAGTTAAAAATTAAAATTATACTAATGTCTAATACAAATGTTATTTGTGAAATATTAGCAACCGATTTATGGACTTATGTCATGGCAGAGTTCCACGGAATGAAATAACTATGATGAAAGACATATCCCGCATGAAATTAGGTAATCAAGGAGAATACTTATTTGGTAAAGCACAGGATATTCTCTGGGATGAAGAATTTTATGAGTATGCTAGATTTCCAAAGGTACTATTCAAATAACAGGTTAGGTAATCAGTAATAATGTCATTTTTTTAAACCTTAGATGTTGGACTATATAGAAAGCTTTATTGGACCTAATGTTATGGCTATGCATTCAATGTTTATTAATAAACAACCAGATATTGGTACCAATAGCTCTCGCCACCCAGTTCATCAAGTACAACTTATTTTAAATTTTAATATATAGATTGTGTGGTAAAAGGGAACAAGTAAAAATCACTATTTTTAAGTAAATTTTAAAAAAAATGGTCTCATTTCTACTTTTATTGCAGTTGAACTTTTTTCATCACTGCTAATTTAACATTGAAAAGAAATAATAATAAATCAATCATTTAAAGGTTGACGATAAAAACTATGTACAACATTCTTTTCTACACGATAGTATCGTACAAAAAATTGACTGAAATTGACTTATTCCTTTTTATGCACTTATTTTTGATTGTTTGATATGCTGTATGTAGAAGGTATTAATCCATTTTTTTTTCTTTAAGGATCTTCATTATTTTCCATTCCGTCCTGCCAATATGATTGTAGCGTCTTGGACAGCTTGTGTTCCAGTTACTGTGGACAATGGATGTCTATATGTATTACCAGGAACACATACCGGTGATTTGTACCCTCATAACTATCCAGAACCCAAAGATGTTAGTTCGGTTTATTCATACTAAAAATCTAATATTAAATCATTTACAGTTAATAATTACTAGGGCTCGTAAGTTCATGCTCTATAAAAATTCCTAGTTAAACACTGGCCAAATATGCCATAAAAAGTTCCAAAAAATGCATTTATATGCAGATTAAAAAAAAAAGAAAAAATCATAAGACTTTTTTGGAATAACAAGAAAATATATCCATTCATATTTATAAAAGTTATGTTTTAGTTTTAATGTAATTCCAAACAATTAACTAAAAAAATATCTATTGATAAATAATAAGCTAATAAAATAAATATCCAGTAAGCTGTTAATTTTAAATCGAACAATTTAAAACAATTCTCATAAAATATTTTATACAGTGAATAAATATAAATTATTGCATTTATCATCATTTTTAAGCCAAAAATACGCTATATATGCCAATAAAATAGAAAAGCACTGTATATGCTGAATAGCAGTGGCGGCTCGAAATTGTGGAGATTTTGAAGCATATTGTATATTTTAAATATTTTTACCACCGTACCCTTCATTGAACCAAAATAAGCAGGCCATTAATAATTATTAATTAAAATATTTACCATGATATTTGTGTTGAGGTCTTACGATTATAAATATACTTATACAGTATATACCCACCCACCCATTTCTGACATGAAGCAATTGCTTCAAATAGTCCTATTTCCCGCCGCCACTGTCGAATAGGCAAAAAAAACCCTAAATGTGCAAAAATATGCAAAATAAAACTTTACATACTTAAGCATGGTACCTTGAAATGGATTTCTATGACATTTATCATTAAACACCACATAGTAAGATTGATATGCAAATGCAAGAACTTATAAGCTCTGATAATTTTCATCAGTCGTTTGAGAAATCTTACTTGTCCAAAAATATGGAATCACTTTTCATTGCAGGTTTGAATTTCTCATACATAGACCTACATATTTTAAGAGAATTTGACTTGTCCATTTTTTAAAATGGGTTTTAATAGCTGTAAACATTTTAAGAATCAATAGAAACCCTACTAGTAAGAAAAGTTATTTAAATTTTTCTGAAACTTTGGGTTTTTGGGGCTAATCGGGTTTCTCAAATGACTGATTCAATTACATTCTGTATCGAATTAAATATTATAGTATAATAAAAATTGTTAATGATGATTTCTGTAGGGAGAAATAAATAAAATGTACCATGAAGTAAAGACAAACAATAATCATGATGATCATAAAAAGGTGTTTTTGGAAATGGATAAAGGTGATACAGTATTTTTCCATCCTTTGTTGCTTCATGGATCAGGAATAAATAAAACACAAGTATAATATATTTTAATCTAAGTGCTTATGTTTATACTTTATTTATAAAATTTCATGTATATTTCAATTTTTTTCTCCAGGGTTTTCGTAAAGCAATTTCTGTTCATTATGCTTCATCCAACTGTAATTATATAGACGTGTCTGGTACAACTCAAGATAACATAAAAAATGAAATAATTGATGTAATGGCTAAAAAAGGAATAACAAATGTTGATTACACGGTATGTAACTAATTCTTTAGTCATAATGTAGGTTAAAAATTAATTTTACATTTTGTTCAATATTTTTTTTCTTAATAGTTTGCCTGGAAACATCGTTGTCGACTTATTCGGGGAAACAAAGCAAATTTGTAGATGTATAATAAATTCTAATATTAAATTGAAATATTCAAATAGGGTTGTAGATTCTATGTTACCTAATTTATGTTATATTTACATAACTAAATTCTAATATTAGTGATAATTATATAAGCTAATAACACTTACTGTTTAAATTATATAATATTTATTTTAATATTTTGATGGTATAAGGAGGTATTTTATTTTAAAATTATCCAAGGTCTATTTTTTATTCTTTTTTTAAAATTTTTTTTATTGGAATTAACAAGTGTATGGGTGTATAATATTTCTCAGTCATTTGGACTTCAAACTTTTTATGAACAAATAGGTAATATGAAGGAAACTTTAACATAACAATCAGCTATTATAAACACAATTTTAAGACCAAATGTAAAACTATTAACTATTAAGTCGTATTAATGATTGGGTTATCATTATCAATATGTTAAAATAAAAATACAACTTTCAAACATTTACTTGTCTTTTACTTTGTTATTTCGTTGTTTTCCATCAACTCTCCAGAAATATTTTATTTCTTACATATAATTCTGTATTTCTGTTAATCAATTATGTCATATTTACTTTATGTTAAATTTATAGCTTATCTATACACAATGATATTTTAAACTTGTAATTGGGCTTTGTCCGTTTGAATACAATATTAAACAATCATTTGTTTTTAAATAACAATCTTGCTATAAAATATAAAAATTGATGAATCTCACTATTTAAATATTGTTGCATGAGATGTAGCTTAATAGCTTATTATTGTGGTTCATTAAATAAGTATAGCATTTTAAATTTGGTATTGAAAATTGGTTTTAAACGCTGCGTTATTTGTATCAACAAACATATAAATTATATTTATTTTGTAACCATGCAGAACGTCATAATTAAAAAAAAAAATAATTTTTTCAATGATTTTCAAACTGTTATGATATAACATTTTGGATAGGCTGCTAAAGGTACACCAATGCCATCGGTACATTGTTTGGACATTTTTTAATAATTTTGATATTTTAAAATTAATTTCAATGTGTAAAAAATATCAATCATTATGTTATAATATCGATTACCTACCTGTTTCTGCGTCCAAGGCCGTATTCAGGTTTTTCGGTGAAATCAATAAAATAAATACAGTGCCACAGACCACATACCTACTACATAATAGTGAGGAGGTTTAAGGGGTCGTAACCCTGTTCCACGAAATGCCATGAAATTATATTTACAGGCATTTTATTGAAATTATTTGGGACATGTCAATTATTTGATTGGGGTCGAGAGGTAGGTACAACTTTTTACCGTATCCCACAAAAAAAAAAAAAGCTGCACCTCTGCCATTTCAAAAAGATATAATATTATATTTTTGATTATATTTCGCATTAGTACATTTGTGCTTTGTAGTCTGTATTCCTAAAATAGTAATATATGAAATGATTTTACTTCATTAATATATTATAACCAATACGACTTCCGTACAAACACTATGCTTTCTCCACTGCCGACATCGAATTCAGAACATTGAGTACCTACAAATGTCATGTTATCTAAAGATAAATGTAAATTGTACAACATTTTGTATTATATTATAGGTATCTACCTACCCGGCCGCACAGTGATATTCAAAACGATAACTGCAACAGTGCAACAGAGATGAATTAATTTTTATTTTCGAACGCATACAGCATAGGTAGGTACTCAATAGTTAAGTACATTATAATTTATATATTGAAACTCGATTAAATTCGAACGACGTTGACATGTCCTCGGAAGTGTAGGGCCAGAATATTATTCCGGTGCAGATGCGTCATGTATCGTAATGTACGATACTAGAGTGTTCACCAACGAGCAGTATAATGACAATATATTAATATAATATTCGTTCTCATCGAGTACAGAAACTTCGGAAACGTCGCCACACTCACATCCGATGGCACGTCTAAATGCGATACGTTGCGTTGTTCGTTGAAATTAAACTTGACGCAGTTCAGATCAATTATTATCGAACGCAAGTCAGTGGAGTGAAAACGACGTAGGTAGATTTTATTTTATTATTCCCGACAGCAGCTTTAACACTGCAGCTGAGGTCCACAGGGAAACCGTTGAGCACAAGACCTCACAACAATTCCAAGAAGAATTTATCAAGGGAAAACATTCTAACTTCATAATATAGGGCCATGATATTACAAAATAAACTATAAAGTACGTAGCATTGTAGCAAGTATATATAGTATACTTACACCTATCATCAACGATCATCATTGTTCAAATATAATACACGCTAAAGTTATAAAATATATTCTCATTGCTCAGATGACAGATATAGGAAGGTAAAGCCGTAAAGATAGATAACTTACAAACTACAGTAGGAGGGTACTGCTTTCAATGGAACAATAATAAATTCAAAGGTACCTATATAAGATAATTCTCACTTATACATTTTCGTAATGTCTTATGCTATATCGTAGGTATGTACTGTCAGTATAGTACAGTTATCAGTACTTTAATCGCTTATAAATACAAAAAAAATATTGGTTCAATTAATATAACATTAATCTTGAAAATTTTCAAAAAAATTTGCATAATAATGTGAAATTAAAAATATGCATCCTTAAAAATGCAAAAAGCAGAATAAAATTAGTATTACAAAAAATACTGTTTACCAAAAATTGAAAAATGAACCTTGTATTACTTTTATAGGTACCTAGGTATTTAAATTATAAAAAAATTAATATAGCTAATCCCATTTTTTTTTATAATTTATTAATTTGGTACAGGCTTCTTTAATTGTACCTACCTATTTCTGAATGAAATATTCACTTATTGTGTACTTACCTATTGGCTATTGTAATGATAATAATATGTAATAATGAATAATTTAAAAAGTTAGATAAAAGCTTTTGTATTTTATCTTTATAATATCTGTAAATTTATACAGAACTTTCGCTGAGCGAATCTCTTCGCCCGGCACCACAGAGATCGACTTTTGGATCTGACCGCGGTTAAAGTCGTGTCCATTCCTGTAGCATCTCCACGTCCACACCAGGTTAACATGTCCTGTCGACCGGTCATCTTGTGGTCCTGTGGTTTTGCAGAGCCATATGTCGACTCGGTATCACCAATTAACTATCTTTCCATGTTCGGTGTCGGACATAACTGCTGGGCGTCGGATTCGACTGGCTGAACTGGTGGCAAAGTTGACGAGACCGCTGTTTCGATATCGCTTACTCCTGTAGTAGGATATAATATAATATAATATTATAGTCTTCGTCGCTCGCTCCGATGAGCTTTGGTCACCGTCTTCGCCAACCGTCATCGTTGCTCTCGCAGCCGCCGTGGTCGGGTTCCGCCCGCTTCCATGGTCGCCTTCGTGTCCTCGAGCAAACGCGCCCGCAACTTTCGCCCTCCCACCCCTTCCCCCCGGACAGGCCGCAAGAACGATGTAGAGGTAACCAGTGGCCATAGACTATTCAACCATTAACATCAGCACCGCCCCCCCCCCTATCGCCTCGTCTTGACTGATGTCTTTTTTTAGATTCTGAGTGGAATGTTGAATGTATTGATTAATAACCTTATAGGTATACTAATATAAATATCGGATATTCTTAAAAGACACATCAGCATAAAAACGTGAGCTAAAGCAAGTTCCGACCAAAAGTGTAAGTGTACTTCAAAAGATTGATTATTTATCATTGCTTTCAAATTTAATGATTATTAATTCGTAACACATCACAAATTCACAATATGCTCTATAGGTCTAGGTGAGCCAAGCGAGTCAGGTGCAGTTCAACATTCAGTTTCAATATCCTAACCAGTTGTTAACATTACTTTTAATGTGCTGCTATCGTATATTTGGCGACTTGGTATTGAAAACCATATTCATATATATTGATTGAAATACTCGATGCTTTTTACTAGCAAATGTAAATTGATTTATACCTATTACGACTACTATATGTCTATATCACGCATATGAATTATTGGAAAATATTAGCCAATAAAATATTTTGAAATATAAAACAAATATCTTCAGGTAATATTATTAGGTATACCTATTAACTAGCTAATAAAGAGGTAGCTTAAAAATCAAATCCATTGATAAATGTCAGTATAAAAATATAGGTGATTGGGTGCTAATTCGTGATTTATCATTTATGGTATATTCTTTAAAGGATCAATTTCAAACTTTCTCAAAGTTTTATTTGCATTCTGTGCGTATTGTAACATAATACAACTAACTAAATTATGAGGTACAATCATCTTCTATAACTGTACAACAGAGCGGTTAATTACATCTCCCCTTTATTTCTATAAGTCTAGAAATTAAGCCAACAAAATCATAAAGATACCTATTGAAACTATTAACAAGTTATGTATATATTATATGGATTTATTAATTATGTGTTGGTATAAAACGTCTGAACGTTTTGACATTGTAAAATAAATTATATAATTTGGGTGGGGTGCCATTTGGGGAGGGGTGGGGAAGGGTGTGCATTTTGTATCCATAATTGGCCTAAATATGAATCGATAGTTTTGTTTTTTATGGAAATGTTGTGCAATGACAATACATTTCTTACGTATTGGGTTTGATTTTGAATAAAATAATAGGCATTATTATTATTATTATTTGTTATAGTATGCTACATAATATGGTAAACTGCTAATGATGAATACCTAGAATCTTTATCAAAACTATTGTCTATTATTTATATTATTAATTATAATTTAAGTGTTAAGCAAGTTTATAACTTGGATTTTATTGATATATTATTTGAATTTGTAATTAATAGTGGGGTCATTTTTCTAAAATATAATTTGGGACTGTATGATTAAAACTAAAATACATTTTAATATTTTATTATATGTATATCTATCGTGTATCAGTATATATATATGTATTAGCTGCATTACTCAGCATTTCCCGAATCTGCCCAATTTGTTTTGTTCTTTCTAGAATATTCTTACAATATAATAGGCATTAGACACGGTTTGCAAACATTCCTGTTTTACTTTCTTGTGTAGATAATAGGTATATACTACATATAATAATATAGTTATGCTTATGACTTATGATTAATTTTAAAAAGAAAATACTTTAATAAAAATATAGGAGTTTTTTTGATAACAATTTACCTGGCGCCGGGAGGGGAATTGGCATCATAAAACGTTTATACCGTCTTATAAAAAAAAAAAAAAATGGCGTCCCTGATAATTTGTTGAGCTAAATTAACTTTTAGACGAAAGCTATATAATAAAAAAAAATATATATAGGTACATAATCAACAATAGGTATATTATTTAATAACATAATATTATATTATATAATATGACGTGTGTAATGCGTAGCCGTATAGGTATTTAGGTAGGTATATAATTGTTATAGTAGATAGGTGTGATGAATTAACTTATTAAAATTGTTACAATCCTAATATGTAAGTAAAACTATATAAACTTAATTTTGTAAGATAGTTTTATGTATTCGCAGGTAATTTGACTGAGTTATAAATGCATTTTCAATCCACGTACAAGTCGACTTCGAAACTTCCAAAAGTCCTAAAATATGGCAAAGGTTTTTAATTTAGTCATAATGTAGAACTACTAGATACTATTTATTACTTATTAGTACACATATAATATTACTTTGAAGTCCATGTCATTGAAACCTCTCCGACGTGCTATTTCTCTGACTTCAATAGCGATATTTTGTTGCGTTGTACCAGTCACATCTATATATTGGCATTCACAGGATGCAAAATGACAAGAAATTGCTTTTCTTGTTTCCTTTGTACAGCAGATGAATATGTATTCATAAAATAAAAATATATTATATTTACTCATTAAATTGATGTTATTTAAGAAATATCGCATTTTCCAATAGTTATTTAATTGACGTAACTAAAGATAATGCATCATGGGATAACTATTTGTAGATTGTTTTTATTAAGAGGGTACTACAAATTACAATAGGTGTTTTCATATATTATTAAGCACGCGGTAATATGGTAATAATTAAAAATCATTGTGGATTGATGAATGAAATTTATGAGCTAATAATATATATTATATATATTATATATCTTATAGCATATCTAATACATACCTGTGACGTATTCGGTCCAGATCCGTGTATTAGTAATGGGTGAAAAAGTACCGTGTCACCAGGATTCATATCCAAATATTTTTTCTGGTGACTATCGTACCCTTTAATCCCGTGGAAACCTTTATTCACGCCGCCCTTTTTTAAACGCGCAACGCATCAGTAAATGTTTTGATTGCATAAATAAATAACAATAATAATAAAATCATAATATTCTTACTTTCCATTCCGGATATTCGTGTGGAAGAAGTTTACCTGGGTGAATATGCGAACCGGGCAAAACAAACAGACACCCGTTGGCTTTTGTGACCGTTTGCATAGCTGTCCATGTAGCTACGATTCTGTCTGCTGGGCGAAATGCGAAGTAATGTAAATCCTAAACAAAAGTCAAAAATATGATGAGAGGCAACAAACGACTGTAAAAGGTTCAAAAGTTTCGTTAATTAATAAATGCGTAATTAACGATGATGATAAACATTGTCAGAAGTCTTGACGTTTATGTTTTTCGTCGTGGAATTAAATACTTATCAAACAGGTACCTACAAACATTTGCATTCAAACGCTATCTAATTTATTTATATTAAATACAAAATATAATACAAACGTGTCGTAGTATTATATACTTAATAAATTTATCAGTTATCATTTACTGTGAGACTATAGTCATCAGTTGCATTTCTTCCATTCTGGATATTTATTTTATTATAATACTTCAACATTTAACGTTAAAATTAATTTTACCGTATTATCTATTATACTATTTTTTATTTTTTTCGGGTTGAGGCTTCGACAATTGAGGTCATTAGCCTGTAGTATTATACTATTATATTATTAAAGTTTTAAATTATAGCTATAAAGGTTGGTTTAGTCGTTTAGTTTTAATATAATAAGGTGCTATATAGATAAAGGCGTAAAAATACTCGTAAAGTCTCGATAAAAAAATTATAGTAAAATGTATTTCTATTTTATATACATAGACTTTAGGTTTATTGTTATTAAAATTAATTCGAATAAGATACATTTTTTAAATGTATTATAATATGTACAGTCAATAATAATATGACATAAATTGTTCTTAAGTGTGTGAGAGAATTATACGATTTTAATCAAGGGGGAAAAGCCTATAAACTCATAGCCACAGGTCAAAATTAAATTACTAAATGATTAAAAGTGATTAGTTTAGTCATAAACCGATGGTTAAGTTTTGTGAACATACAAAAATACTAAATAGTAATAAAATCCACCAGTTCCAAAAATTGGACCAATCAAATATGGTAATTTTACCTCAATCTCATATTATAAATTATAATCTAACACATTTTCTTCTCAGTAGAATTATTGTAATTTGAGAAAATCATCACTGATTTTCCGTTGCCGAACACTTAAAATAAATTTGAAAAACACTAATATATACAGTAAGACCGAACTATACTGAGAATCGTTTCTTCGTATGCAACGTATAATAGTAATATATTAATCTTACTATTGTATCTCTTCACTGTTTACATTTAACACGTGTAAGTGTTATTGTTTTACCTGATGCATTGGATGCCTTGAAGTCATCGAGCCAGTGTCTGGAGGTTTGTTTATTAACATTGAATGCATCGCCATTATATTGTTTCCCGTAAAACATTGAACATAATCTAGTAACTATAAAAAAGTAAATATGTTTTATTTATTTATTGTTTAAAATAAAATCAAAAGATGTACCCTCATTCGAAATGTCTGTCTTGCGTATCAAAAGACGTCATCAGGAAGATAATATGATATACTATGTATTAGGTAATAATTGTGTCGAACATTTTAAAGAGCATTCAATTAGCCACACAAGTGATAATTAATTTTTTTGTAAAAAATATGAATATCTTAATAATCTTTTAACGGGTAATAATGTTTTCCAAAATTTGTCGCATTGTAAATTCTGGCTTAAAAATAAAATTACTTTTATTGGTTTCAATGAACGAATCATATCTACATAGTAGGTTAAAAGTAGATAATTATTAACTGTAATTGTGAAACGTAATATTTTAGATATTTATTGTTTTGAAAGTTAAACAAAATAAAATCGTGGAACGTGGGAAATTTTGAAGTTGAAATACAAATGGTTGGTACCTGTAGTAGTTGGATTGTTGGCTTTTACTTTTTAATAAACGATTTATAAAATTTACTTGGAAATCATTTATCACATCTATCCATGCAAGATATAAATAATTTTCGAAGAAATGTATGTTTAATTATAAAAGAGGACAAATTTATTTTTATTTAGAAATAAAACATTTGAATACAACTGATTAATTTATCACGTTTAATGGTTCAATAGATTTTAATTTTGAGAAATGATGGGATTTAATTATAAAGGATTAGTTTTAGTTTGATATTATAATGAATGGAAAATATACTTTGAAGAATAAATTATAAACTTTTGGAAACTCAATTTATGATGATTGTATCGAAAAGATTATTTTCTGATAACAACTTAGATTTTAAGCTAGCTTAAGTATATTTTATATAGAGATATTATAATTTTTAAATGTTCTACTTATTTCGATTTTAATTACATTCATTCCGATCAATTATTTTTAAGTACCTATATATACCCATTTAATAAATCTCTCATGAATAATAATAATAATAAGTAATGATATCAGCTAATAACCCGGCTATAATATTGTTCACTAAACATTCGGAAAATTAAAAAAAATCAATTGATTTTGCGTTGTCCTGTGTATAATATGAAGTATTTGAATTTTAAGTTAATACGCGCGGTTAATCTAAATATTGTATTAAAATCCAATATTCATGAAAGTTATTAATTAAATGTCGGGGTATTTTTGGAATAAGTACAATGTAATATAACCTATACGTAGGTGCACATCAATAACACCGAATTCGATCGTAAAATAGTTAATACTATAACACCTACACAAGAATATTATTTATTTTTTTATTTATATTGAACTTTCTACGCATTTTGTTCTAGCACAGTGCACTGCAATTACGCTTTCATAGTAATTATATTTTATTATAATATTATTTGCTAATCATTTTTGGGGCTCATTCGAACAGTACACAATAAAAAAATTAAATAAAATACTTTGGAATTTTATTTTCAATACATAACAAGAACACTTTTGTATGAAAAGTACAAAATATATCATCATTGTGCTGTTATTTAATTTATTTTCGAACAAAACTTCTTATACGCCCGTCGAATATTTTATTGTTTGCCTAATTCGTTCATATACTGCAGCAGCTTACAAACGTGTCGAATATTTAATTCTGCGAGCTTACAAAACAATATTGCTTGCTCGGCAGTACATCTAATTAATATTATATTATTATTTCCATTGTAATATTGTGGTGGCAATAATATTATATTAAAGGATTAAACGCACTATACAATATAGCCTATGCCCTATAGTATATAGGTAACAGTAAAGTTATTACTTAGGTATTACCTAAATAGTGATAGGGGTCGACCATACGCCGACGAAAATCATTACGTGTCCGTTTTTATAGGCCGAATGTAAAATTATAGTGCGACTATCTATACGACACTCAATTTTTTTCCCGGTGTCCATCCAACGCAAACACGTATTATTATTGAACCCCATTTTGACCCCGAGTACTCGCTAAAAGTTTACCGACCACTGTGTCATTGAACACTAGCCGTCCGAAGTGTTAATATACCTCTATAATTAGGTACGTATCTGGTGTCATCAAACAATAATAATAATAAAAAACACAGTTAAACATTTGATAACAATACGAAAATAGTACCCAAACACATATACTATTGATTTATCAGAGAAAAAAGAGGACTTCAAATTATTTTCGTTTCGTAGTTAGAATTGTCAGTAAACTAACTGACACACATTCGTATAAACGCAGAAACGATATATAATCATATCATTGGTATTATACCTATACATATGGGGAAATATGATATAGTTATATTATATACTTATGTATCATATTATTTTTCTGTACCTACCGTTATTATATCGACGGCGAATATTGACAACAATAATAAATAATAATAATAATAACAGTCATAAAAACGATTTCGAACACACCACCTCATTATTATTTAACGGTGTTATTACTTATTAATTACGAAATGAGTGAAGTGATATTGTTGTTCCAAATTTTCAATTATTTGTCGTGTATTTTCAAAAATAGTACCTACCTAATATTTTTCTCTGTATATAATATTCATTATTCAATAATATCATTTTGTGTTGTACATACCTATGTATTATTATTGCATTATAATTAATACAATTGATCACTTGGTGTGAGTAAAGAATGTATATATATGATATATAATGTCGTGTGTGTATAATACTTCATAAATACATAATTAACAGCTATAAGTTATTTATAATTTCAGCACCCCCCCCCCCCAAAAAAAAAAAAAATCGTTCCTTTTTATTATACTAAAAGTAATTACTTCTGGATGTAGAAAGTACTGTTCGAATACATCATCCCATATTATGTCTTGAATTTTATTAACTATACTTTCTTTGGAAATACCTTCTCGATTTATTTTAACCGATGATATATCTTTCATCACTGTTATTCCTCCTCGATTAACCTTACCTTCACATATGTCGATGAATCTTTGTCTAAAATATAAGAACAGTGAAAACAAAATTATTAAAACATTCCACAATGACTTATTTCAATTTATTTTTTAATTTTATTTTTAACTATCAACAATAACCACCAATATTATGTTGTTTTTATGGATATGTTATGTACAAATATGAATTGAGTTCTGATTATGCCGTTGTATGTATAGCCATAATTAATTTATGTAGGTACAGTAATTCTTAATTACTTGAATCGATCCAATAATGTTTCATTTATCAAGTCTCTTATGACAATATATCCATTAATTTCAAAAAAATCCCTTTGTTCTGATGATAGAATCCCGTTGTTTGAAGATATTGTGTACTTGTACCTTTTTTGATTCGCCATTATTCTGCTAAAAATGTAAAATTGACTTACAAACTATACTTAATTAATAATAACCTAGAGTACAGTAATGTATGTTATTTAAAAGCTTAAAATATGATGAAATTATGTGCCAAAAAATATTTAAATATTCATGCTCTTAAAATTCTAAAAATTCTATAAAAGAATAGAAATTGTTTACGTAATTTATAGTAAGTATATTTGCACATATTTAAAACGCAAATATAGGTATTATTTTAATAAATATAGAATTTATGGTATTACTGTATTATAGTTATATATCACAGTATCACTCATGGAAACGCATCTAATCGAAGTTCAAACTTCAAACGCAAATTGCAGACGTGAAAAACAGAGGTTGTTTAGTTGGGAAAACATTGTAGTTATAGTTGAATAATATATAAGATGGAACTAAAACTGAAAATTACAATGAAGTATGAACATGAGGAGTAGTGCCGGGTTGCATATAAAATTGATACATTTATAATGGTTCAATACAGTTTAATGAACCAATCATGGGCCACTAAATCATGTTTAAGGGACCATTAGCTCAAAATTGTTTCGCTAAATGTTTAGCGATTGTTCATTAGGCTAAGTATACGAGTATCATATTTATTTTATTAACTATTATTAATGAAAAGTGCACAAAACACGTAATTGTTAAGACAAGGTTAATAATTATTATAAGTAGGTATACCTACGCAAATTATTATATATTTTATGCAATTTATTTCTTTTAATTTTCACTCAACATTAAGAAATGTGTACGATTTTTTTACGTCATCATATTGAAATATTTGTTTTGAAAACATAAAATGTTTTTTTTTTATGGACTTTTTAATGATAAAATTCGAAAAAATTAAATAACTTTTTTAACTGTATTTAATGTTTAACTATTATTGTACGTTTTTATGGCCCATCCTTATTCGTATTTGAAATAATTAAATCACTTTATAGTATAAACATTACGGTCGGTCGATCTTAATCAAAAAAATGTCTGGCCGGGCTACAAAATAGTAATAATATAATAATAAATACAATAGGTGTATGGGATAAAAAATAATATTTCAATAAGCTATACAGTATACTTATACTTGGTTAATTAAATAAATTAAATAAAACCACAACCCTTGAAACGTCTCTAGTTTTTAAAAAGTTGTATTTTTAATTCAAATTTGTACTTTTATTACCTATGATAATAATACAAAACAAATAGTCATACCTGTTGAGTAATATACTGTACATTGTGCGTATCAATTTAACATGTGATATAAACAGTATTTTTGTCAAACATAAAATGGTTGCTGTTAGAATATAATAAACATTTTACAATATCTTGAACTCTTGAAGTATTCCAATTTCCAATAAATTGTTATTTTTTATTTCATTTAAAAATATGTATATTATACTAGGACCTATACCTATTGGTTACGTATTATGCATAATATGGTAGACACAAAAATAAAAAACGAACATTCAAACATTGGGTAGGTAAATTTCGAATAAAATCAGTCAGCGTTAACTGAAACTGATAAATTATAATATGAAAAGTACCTATCTATTGAGTGAGCTACGAGATCAATTATTTATAATATATCTGAAAAACAAGATGTACAAAGAGGGGTGTGGTGCGCCAACATAATAGTTACACGAAAGAGACATACAATCTAAATTATACGAGGAGAATGTCAAATTTGATTTTTACGTCAAATATTATGGGCAGAGAAGAAGAAATATTTAGAGAAACACAATTTATTTTACTAATATAAGTGTTAGTAATTTATTGTTGCGAATATTACAAATAATAACCACGGGAGCATAGGTAACAGAAAATCTTCAATACATTTTCAAATATGTATAAAGTTTAAGTATTTAAAAGGAATACAGCACGTCATAGCTCTGTTGAATTGTTATATAATATTTTGTTTTATTGTAATAAAACTTCGATGCGTGTGGACTCTAATAGACTATGAAAATGTATGAAACACAAAAAAAATTGATACTAACAAATATACTTATATACATATACATATAGGTAGGTACTAATTATTAATTTATCTAGTGTTGAGGTACCTATAGGTCCTATACACTGTTATTGCGCATGCGTTTCATTATAATCCTTTTCTAATTTCTTTGTGCTGCGTCGGACCACCTCGTTTACAAAACGCCAAGTCCGCAGATTAAACCTGGTCACAGTTAGCTTTGAATTCACGTACAGCATATTTTTGATCCTAAACCCATCTCACAGATCGACTTAACGGGGACTGGAAGACTCGAAAGAGGTTTATAAGAGAGAACAAGGTGAGCTTTTCATAATATTACTTTACGTCGTCGTTGGAATGTATTAGTCATTAAATCAACCAATTAACTACGTGCTCATTATATCGATGTTCTTATTATCTTATTATTATCAAAGATATTTTCAACAAATTTCAACAAGTTGGTTCGTTTCATTCGAATAACGGTCTATACTGCAAAAATAGTAATAGGTGCTTAAACGTTCACATTTCTTCGCGACTTTGTCACCATAATATACTTAGTAATTACTATTTCAAAGTGTTGTACATTTTAGTTTGTAATTAAGAGGATATATTATACACTCAAGTGTAATCTCCGTCGACAAACGTATAAGACGTGGCGAATTTTACGTTCAGACTAATTCGTTTATAACTCTTTATTTATATTAGGTAATAATATTAGAGTATACATTCATGTGCTATATAGTTTAAAGCCAAAACTAATACCTAAGGCTTCACCAGTGGCGGCGTGAACTATTTTATTTTATGAGGCAAGTATAAATGCTGGACCACCACCACCTAAATTTTATCACACAGACCCGTGGGGGCAAAGCCCCCACACCCCCAATTCACAATTCTACAACGATAATATACTTTGTTGTGTTAATATCAGAAATATAATAAAATTATTATAAAATTAGTATAATTAATAGTATTAGACATTAGTTGACCATATTTATTTTTTTTTTTTTATTAGGGTTAAGGCTTCGACAACTTATTTTATTAGCCTGTGGTACTGTAGGGGAGGGTACTGTAGATTTGTTACACGTGTCTGTTTGTTTTGGCAGAATTTTTTATTTGGGACACCCGTAGGTATTTGTCATGCCAACATGCCCGGGTGGGAGATGGAGGCACTTATTCTCCGTGACTTGCCCAAAGAAAATTGCCGCCCGCGACCAAGGAATCGAGCTAGCACCGGCTGCGTTCGCCTTAGACCACTCGGCCACTTCGTCCCCTTGACCATATTTCATATGTGGTTTTTAATATCCGTACCCGGGGGGGGGTACCACCACCTAATTGGTCGTGAGGCAATTGCCTCATGAAACACCCTATCACGCCGCCACTGGGCTTCACTGGGTTTTAAGACATTTTAATTTTAAAGCTAACTGTATGAGCATTTTTAAAATTGTGAATTTTTTGTAAAATGTTTCAAAGTCGAAATATAAAAAAAAATTCTTACGTAATTATGATTTTAAATTTAATAATAAATTGATATATTGTAATCTCATAAATAGCATAGTTTAATGGATTATTCTGAACGTTATAAGTTTGGTATGTAATGCGTAATAGTAAAACGGAAACAACACTTGTGGGTCTAAGTTATTCTAACGTCATCTTATCTGATAATGATAATTAATGATTCATAATTCAAGCGGCATTATTCCAGTGCAAAGAAATGGTCATATTAGTAGATTTCGTACTTCAAAGTTACACTCAAGTAAGAAAAACTTTTGATAAATAGACTACTGGGTAAACTTTTACCTCTACATAGTTTAAAACCATAAATAATAAACGGTTCGTCAAAGTAAAATCGCCTTGGGAGAAATTCTCATTAGTCGGTGACACAAAATGATGTGATCATTTTCAAAAAAAAAAAAAAATGTTTACTATAATATTAAATATTTTATAACTTTATATTAATTTATATGTATATATATATAATATTTATCTTGTTTTGATATTCGCAGTTAAGGCAGTAACTATATATAATATAAGCTGCCACGTGTTGATCTTGGAGTTGTAAACATGTATTTGAAATTGTATAATTTGCCTATGTAAACGTATAATGTGTAACTAATACTGGCTGGTATAATAATCCGTCTACGTTCTGCCATGCATAATATTTGTACAAAACTAAACAATTAGAAGATTTAATAAAATCCAGCCTGTAAGTTGAAAATTGTAAAAATGATTTAATGTACATATGTATTGCTGAGTGAATTGAAGTACAATATTTTACTTAATAATTCAAATTTTAAAAAGTGTTAAATAAATATATTATTTTATATTCCATTATAATGAACATGTATCGTACCTGCCTATATCTGTGCTTATATCTTTAATTTTTTTTTTTTACCTCCTGATGGAATTTTAGCATTTTTTATAATTTATTCTAATGCATTCTAATGCTTACACTTATTAAACTTATTCTTTTCAAGCCATATAAATTGTATATTTATTCGTCATATTTTAAACATATATAGTATATACTCATATATATATATTATATACTCATAATATATGTATTCGTAGGTACTTATTTTATTTTAAAGCCCACATAAGTATTTTCAAATAACACGGTGTCTATTGAAATAAAAGCTCAAACCCAGTACTAAATTCCACCGACCATTGTTTCGTTTCTGATTTATTTGACTCTTCGTTGATTGCACGCAAGCCGTAAATGCAATCTCCGAACAAAGACAAATAGAGTTGGTATAAGTACTCGCGAGTGACTGTATCAAGATTAATAATTATTTACAAAAGATATCACCACAGAAAAGATTATGACTGGTAAACGAAACCCGAGGATTAAGGTTCTGAAATCGTAATATTCAGATAATAATATAATATAATATAGTTTTACCAGGGATTCAATTAAACAAAAAGATAGCGAAGTTATGAATTTCCAAAAAATATTAATTTTTTTATCGAGCATTTTACTAAACCTATTTTTGTTTTATTCTTGCGACGCGCATCATACTTAAT